AGTTGAGCTAGTAACCTACCTAATATAACAAGTGTCAATCATTGACATAGTTCATTTTATCCTTCAAAATGAATTATAGAGTACTTACTAATACTTAAGCATAAAGACATGCACTACAAGTGATTAGCTATGGTTTTGGCATAAGTATCCCTTCTAAACCAATGTACTATTGATGTTTCACTGAATAAATATTGAGCTCCTATTACACTAAGCCCTGACTAAATTCTGGGGATACAGTGTTGATTGGAGAGATAAAGTCCCTGCCTTCATGGAGCTTGCATCCTGCTGAGGGAAACCCGGTCAATGTTTTGGCTAGAATGTCCAGTGTTCTGCTTGTGCTGGTGCTTGTCTAGAATGTTTCATTTTTCCTATCCTGCTATTAGATTTTATCCTTCTTCATTCCACTCAAAGCACTGCTCTAGCTCAGTCCTCAGCATTCCACTGCAGATGAATTGCTTCCCTGTAATTAGGCTAGTTTGCAGAGTTCTCAGACTTAAGATGGCTGAAATTTCAAACTTTGGCATGATAACTGCACATTCCATCACATGTACTTCTATTCCTTTATTTTGGTTCCTATTCACTATGAGAGAAACCCACATAATGGCAAGGATGGTGTCCCTCAAGTATGAGCATACTCTGAAAAAAAATGCTCTCTGCTCATAAACACCTTCTGTAAAAGATCATTTATTTTTTCCAAGAGGGCTTCTATAAGCTTCCCTGAATAAAAAAATAATCTCTCTTTGAAGCCATAGCCTGAAGAAATTCTCCTTGGTCAGAGGTTGTTTTCACTATCATCTCACCATCAAATATATTCCACATTCCATCCATGCACAAATTCCTGTTCTGTGGGTTAAAAGTTCTCCTTTTATGCTCCCAACAAAAATTATATACCCAACACAAATTATGCGCTTGTTCACCAAAAGACATGGACGATAACATTCATAGTAGCACCATTCATAATAGCTTCAAATTGGAAACAACCTGAATGTCCATCAACAGGAGAATGAATCAATACCTTGTGGTATATTTCTACAACAGGATGCTATACATCATGAAAGTTGATAAAACACAGCTACACCAAACCACTCAGATGAACCTCACAAAGTAATAATGAGCACAAGAAGCCAGATAAGTAAGAATGCATAAGGTGTTATTTTGTTTAAGTTCAAAACTTAAACAAAAGTTCAAAACTAGACAAAGTTGATGTAGAGTTTTGAAGTAGTTCACTTTGGGATGAGAGAGAGGAGAATGTTCGGCAGAGGGCATGAGGAAATCTTCTGGGGTGCTGGTAACATTCTACATTTTGACTTGGTATCACAGCTCTGTTCATTTTGTAATATCCATTGAACTATATACTTAGGATTTGTGCACCATATTCACTAAAAAGAGTTTTTCTTAATAAAAGTTATCCATTTGCCACATTTATCAAGGTTTTATTTAGGTCCCACTTCCATGGAGGAGCTGCTCCTCACCATTCCTGGGAGGCATATGGGGCCAGGAAGGTTTTTCTCCCCAGGTAAGTGAAAATTGTGTTAATTGTGTATATGGGGGGTAGGGACAAAATCACACTCCAAATGGGAAAAGCCAAGGTTTGAAGAAGACAGTTTCGAATAAAGTGAGGCCATAATCACATGATGAAATAGAGGCCAGAAACTGGTGGGATCAAGCCCCAGAAAGCTGGTATCTGGGCATGAGAGGTTATGGGGCACAATATTTACATGCACAGACACTGGAGCCAGAATCCCTGGGTTGATTTCCCAAAACCACTAGCTTCTGTTTTACCGTGGGCAGCTTCCTCAACCTCTCTGTGCCTCAGGCCCTCCATGAAATGCACCTGAGAAGTCAAAATGTGATACTTGTCAAGCACTCCCAGCTGTGTTTGTCCCATGCTGGGGCTCAACATGTGTCAGTTACTACTACATCTACATCATTTTCTGCTCTTACAGTCCACATGCCAGTGCATGGCTGCCCACTGCTCACATGTTTTATAGGAAAGCAGAGGAAATCATTCTCTTCCTTCCTAGTCCTAGTTCCAAAGTTCCCAGGCCAGATACCTTCCCTATCCATAAAAGCTGAGTAGCAAACAGGATCAAATTCTATAAAATGACCACTCCCACCAAACCATGTGAATTGGGAGTCAGACATTCAACAAGAGGGGCAGGTCAGTTTCCAGACTAACAAGGAATGATTCGAAAGATATCAAGAGGAGTACAGTGTAAATATATATGGGTGGGTCTGCCTTTCTTCAAAATGAATGAAATTGTGCCTTTATACACACAATGTAAAAGTGTACATTAAGCCTGAGTGTTTGCCCCAGATTTAACTCTCTGCTTAGCTAAGTCATGACTGGTATTTGCCTAGAAATAAAACAAAGCAGGTCCCACTTTCTGAGACAAACATTTTAATTTTATTTTGTATCTCACTGGGTTTTTATCCCATCACATATCTACGTGCTCTGTTTCACTATTTCATCTCAGGGTTTCTGAATGTTCTCCTTGAACAAACAATATAAACACAATAAATGGTGTAACAGGCAAGAGCTTTGACACAGAAGTGGAGGCACATTAGCTGCAAGACATCCAAGGACACCAAGATAAAGCAGAGAAAAGCATGAAGTAGCTGGTGCATGGGGCTTGGAGGGAAGAATGGACAGTGGTGGTTGTGGAAGAGCACTGCAAGCTCAAACAGTGTGCTAAATTTCAGATGTTAGTGGAAATGTCGAATAGGTGTGTGTGTAGGCAATTATAAACATGAGAAATGCATAGAATGGTGCCTTACACAGAGGAGGTGCTAAATGAATATTATCCAAATGAGTGAGAGAATGAAAAGAGGAGAGATAAGGGATTTGCTGTCATTCATCTGTAGGAGCTTTGATAAGTCAAGGAATTTTAGGATTAAAAGGGGCCAGTAAAGTCTATTCCCCTTACAAGTGGTTTGAGCTTGAATACCTCCGTCTCAGGTTTGAATTAGGAATCAGTAAGAAAGAAAAAGAAAGCAACACCGACACATGGATTTTTTTTTTTAGGAAGTTAAAAGCATTCTAGAATAATGGATGGTTGAAGTACTATTTGTAGGAAAAAAGAAGAATTGGAATGGACCCCAAGGAGGTCATTTATCATGTCATCTCTCTGCTGGCTGTAAAATACAGAAATCATTAGGTTGATGACAACAATACTCTACATTTGTGTAGTACTTCCAGTTCTGAAAGTGCAGTCAAAGACATTATCTCCATTAATTCTCACAAGCATGTAGGTATTCTTTTCTGGGACTCAAAGGAAATTACTAGCTCAGAAATAATGGATGCTTGTTGATGTATAGAGGTTCAATTACCTTAGACATAAAGATAGAACGTCCTTTAAAAGATTCCCCCACAAAATAACATATTCATTTATTTAGTAACAAGGAGAGTTGCTGAGAATTATTATGATGTCTTGTCTTTTCAAACCTGTGAATTTATCAATATTAACTCGGAAAGTATCTTTATCTTTTTCCCCAAGGTAACAGCAATGAGAGCCACCAAGGTGCTTTGGACATTTTCCAAGGAGAAGGAGGATGATGCTTGGTAGGAAAGAGGGGAGTGGCCCCACCCTGGAGGTGACTTCCCAGGGACTGAGAAGGGCGGGATGTTCAGTTGTTCTGGGTCTCACTTTGCACTTGTGTACCACTTGCAAGCATCATAAGAGAAGGACACGATTTAGATGTGGGTGGTGGTTCTGGCAGCGGCAGAGTGATTGCTGTGAGAGGTATAACTATAACCCCGCTGGTGCAAGAAGCCTGACTGGTAGCAAAAGACTAGAGCTCATCCCATGCTTCACAAGAGGCAGATGTAAGGGACAGAGACCTTTCACTTCCATTTTCCTCAACTACATACCTATTGGGATTTTGGTATGATCCATAGGAGATGGAAGAAAATTATAAAAACTAATATTGGAATTGTTACTAATCTCGGCAAATTGAGATTTGATTTGATATAGAAAAACAAAGACATACAATATTCCTTATACTTGAGATGTCATGGACTGATTGTACATATGTTGATCTTCATTCAGCAGGTGTTTATTGAGCACTTACTGGGAGCCAGACGTTCTAGTAGATGTTGGGGATATAGGGGAGAATAATACAGAACTGGATCTTGTTTTTTTAAGTAGCTTGTTACATCTGTCATGGACAGACAATTAAACAAGGAATAACCAGACAGACTGCTGAGTGTTAGAACAGGAAAAAGACAAGGATTTGAGACACCAGCTAAAAGGGTTTACATAACCTGGTCAAGGGGACAAAGACAGCACCCGGCAGAAGTCACAGTTAAGCTAAGACCTGAAGGATTCTGTCTTGCATCACACAACACTGCCTTCCCACCAGTGCTATGCTAAACACTTACTGCAGTTACATAGTATTTGCTATTTTCAAATCTTTCTCTTACTAAGCATTGAGCTCCCAGAGGTCTTAGAGCATCATATAAATTATTTTTAATAAATCTTTGTGTCCTCAGCACCTCTGACAGAGCTCCTACACTTAGTAGGTTTTAATACATAGCTGCTAAATGACACAAAAATTGAATGAATAGAATGAGTGATGAATGATGGGAGACCTAATTGCACTATATGGGAGAAATGCTAGTGTTTATCTGCAAAGGGTGCAGGCTGGATGCTGCATTCTAGTTAAGCAGTGTCACTACTACGTCCTCCAGATAGCCAGTTGCTGAGCATCTGCTAATTAAGGCTATACTGCCGCTCTGAGGGCAGTCTGGGTAATACCAGGATTGGACAGGACACCGTCGCCTGCTCTGGTTCTCTGCTTCAGGTTGGTGAGAGCACTAGCAATACAACCTCCTCTTTGAAGGAAAGGTCTGCCAACCCCATTACGGTCCTCCTTACTCAGGCAGCCCTTCTTGTCTTCTCTTAAAAAGTGCAGGCTGGCTAAGGAAACTGAACCTCACTTTCATAGCACAATTTTGGGGGCACAGAGGAATTGAATTACATTCTTTTCCTTGCGTGTAGGTTGGAGAGGAAGAATCCAGCCCTTATCCCACCCTTCCCAGTACCCTTGAAGAACCACCCCTAGTTGACCACCTGGGGTAAGTATGAAGCCAGCATACTCACCTCAGCACAGGAGGTAAGTGCTTTAGCTGAAATATTTCTCATCCTTAGCCACTCTACTTCTTACCCCTCCAGGGAGCTTTAAATGCTGGTGAATTCTGATCAGCATCTTAGAAGGGAATAAATAATGAACTAGCACCCAGAGCATCTTCCTCACTGGTCTCTTGGCCAGCCCCTCAAACTTCTGTCCAATCATTGCTGTATGGCTTAATGAACTGAGGGCAAGAAAATCGAGATTCTAACCCTGGCTTTGATGATTCCTATGCATTACACCTTGGATTAGTTGATTAATCTCTTTGAACATCAGTTAGTAGATCTATAAAATAAATATTAATATATCTGACCTATCTATCTATTTGAAAAATCAAATGGTACAATATGAGGAATGCCCTTTGTGAACCCTAAAAGCACTATACACATGCAAAGCATTATTCTTATGTCCAATACATCTGAAAATGTTGTATAATGATTCCATAAAAATGTACTTTTGTGTTGTGAAATTCTCACTGTCTCTGCTTGTTAATCCAGGGAAATCACTAGTGTTCCTTTCACCTGATTGTCTCATTTCTTTCACTGATCAATTCATTCGAAAAGCAGTTATGAGCACAATTCAAAATATTGATCCAATATTTTATACAATTCTCAATCAGGCAATGCTCAGAATCACTAGGAACTGTTCTTGGTGCTGGAGATACCACAGCTATTAAGGCAGGTAAGTCCCTGCTGTCCTACACTGGGGCTAGAGCAGCGAGTAAAATGACAGTCCCTCCCCTTAGGAGTTTACATTCTAGTGAGGGAGGTAGGAATTTAAAAACTAATCATATGAATAACTGTGTGTGTGTGTGCATGTGTGGGAGGTAGGAATTTAAAAACTAATCATATGAATAACTGTGTGTGTGTGTGTGTGTGTGTGATATGGTTTGGCTCTGTCCCCACACAAATCTCATCAGAATTGTAATTCCCAGTGTTGGGGGAGGGACCTGGTGGGAGGTGATTGAATCGTGGAGGCAGATGTCCCCTTGCTGTTCTCATGATAGTGAGTGAATTCTCAAGATATCTGGTTGTTTGAAAGTGTGTAGCAGTTCCCCCTTCACTCTCTTTCTCTCCTGCCACCATGTGAAGAAGGTGCTCTCTGCCATAATTGTAAGTATCTTGAGGCCTCCCCAGCCATGCCTCCTGTACAGCCTATGGAACTGTGAGTCAAGTAAACCTCTTTTTTTCATAATTTCCCCAGTCTCAGGTAGTTCTTTATAGCAGCGTGAGAGTGGAATAATACAGTATGTACGTGGCAATATTAAACCCTTATTAAGGACACAGGAAAAAGGAAAATGTTTAATATTGTTATCCTCTTGTCCTCACAAACCCTCAGCTGCTAGTGGGAAAATTAACTAATATCCAATGTCTTTAAACTCCATTTGATCCAATATTTTATACAATTCTCAATCAGGCAATGTTCAGAATCCCCAGCAAAATGTTCAGCTTTCAGGTTGCCCTCCCATCCCTCTGTTTTGAGGGACCTGGCCTATAAATAATATTTTAATGCACTCTTATAAAAACTTAAAATGAATCTGCAAAAGCCATGGTGACCAAATGATCAGAATTTTATCTCAAAGTGGGATCATTCACAGTGCTCTGAGAGGCATATTGGAGCCAAGGCAAAAGGAAAAATCAGAATTCCTGACCCCACCTCGATTTAAAATTTTTATTCTGGCTCCATTGTGGATTTTTGCATTAATTTTGATCTTTTTTTTTTTTTTTTGAGACACAGTCTCACTCTGTCACCCAGGCCGGAATGCATTGAAGTGATCTCTACTCACTACAACCTTGGCCTCCTGAGTTCAAAAAAATTATCCTGCCTCAACCTCCTGAGTAGCTGGGATTACAGTCATGTGCCACCACGACCAGCTAATTTTTTTTTTTTTGTATTCTTAGTAGAAATGGGATTTCACCATATTGGCCAGGGTGGTCTCAAATTCCTGACCTCAGGTGATCTGCCTACCTCAGCCTCCCAAAATGCTGGGATTACAGGCGTGAGCCACCATGCTTGGCTGATTCTTTTTTTTTTTTTTTAAGCGATGGGCTTTTGCTATGTTGCCCAAGGATGTCTCGAATTCCTGGCCTCAAGTGATCCCACCTCAGCCCCCTGAGTGGATGGGACCACAGGCACACATCACCACACCCAGCTATTTGTTTTAATTTTCGTAGAGACAGGGTCTCACTATGTTGCTGAGGCTGTTCTTGAACTCCTAGGCTCAAGGGATCCTCCCACCTCAGTGTCCTGTGTAGCTGCTACTACAGGCGCATTCCACTCCACGCAGCTAATTTTTGGTTTGGACTGAAGTATTATTTCATCTCGGTCACTGAGGTTTTTCAGTGCCCCCTACCCTCCTTTATTTGGTGTTGTTCAAGCGCTTCTCCTGCTTCAGGCTCCCAAGTATCTGGAACCACCATGCCTAGCTAATTATTATTATTATTATTATGTATTTTTAGTAGAGACAGAGTTTCAGCATATTGGCCAGGCTGGTCTTGAACTCCTGACTTCAAGTGATCTCCCCTCTTCGGCCTCTCAAAGTGCTGGGATTACAGGTGTGAAGTACCTCATCTGGCCTCAACGCTCCCTTCGAGTTTGTGCCCAGTGTGAGTGCCTTGCTTTGCTGAGCCTGGTCGTGCCCTGGGATTTGAGACCTGACAGGTGTGGGTAACAATTGCAGTTGAGCTGCTCACTTGCTAGAGGACCTCAGGCTCCCTTCTGTGAGATTCACTTTGGCCATTTCTGGAATCCCCAGGACAGCTGGGTGGATTGCAGCGATGTTTACCCACCAAATCCTGAGTGCTGGAGCAGACGGCCCCACCTTTTACTCTCTTGGACTTCCAGCCTCCAGAACTGAGAAAGAGAAGAAATCTCAGTCTCTGAAGCCCTCCGCTTTGTGGCCTGAGATCACAGAGCCCCAGCAAACCATCACATTGGGTTAAGGGAATAGGTCCTCAGATCTCATAGCTGCAGACTGGCCACTGCAGGACTATCCAGTGGGACCCAGGGGTGCCTCTGGCCTATTGGGGGTTGATGAGCCAGTAAATTCAGAGCATTTCTGAAGCTCCTTGACCATGAGTGAGGAAGTTGAATGGTACAGGAAAAGGAGGTGAGCATGCACATTAAACCAACAGCCAAGATCTGTCACCACCATTGGGCACCTGTCAGGCTCCCGGCCCAGTGCTCCCAAAAACAGAGGGCCCCCTTCCCCTAACCCCTAGGAGAGTGATCCCACTCTTCAAGATGATGACAGCATGGGGAAGTCTCTGGAAAGGGCCTTGCCCCAGGGGATGGATCAGATGGCCTCAAATAACATGACAAAGAACTTCTTTATTACTTATCATTATTATTATTTGAGACAGGGTCTTGCTCGCTCTGCTGACCAGGCTTGAGTGCAGTGGCATGATCTAGCTCACTGCAGCCTCAACCTCCTGAACTCAAGTGATCCTCCTGCCTCAGCCTCCTGAACAGCTTGGACTTCAGGCGTGCACTGCCACACCTGGCTAATTTTTAAATTTTTATTTATTAATTATTATTTTTGAGACAGAGTCTCTCTCTGTCACCCAGGCTAGAGTGTAGTGGTACTACCCTGGCTTATTGCAACCTCCACCTCCCGGGTTCAAGTGATTCTCCAGCCTCAGCCTCCTGAGTAGCTGGGATTACAGGCACCTACCACCATGCTCAACTAATATCTATATTTTTAGTAGAGATGATGTTTCACCATGTTGGCCAGGCTGGTCTCGAACTCCTGACCTCAGGTGATCCATCCACCTCCCAAAGTGCTGGGATGACAGGCACAAAAGACCATCTTTCATTTTTGCAAGATGCTGACAGGTTTCAGCAGAGGTTTGAGCCAAATTGGCCATAGGCACCCAGGTGGCCTCCGGGATACGTTTCTCCCAAGCCAGGTTTGCACTCAGTCAGCCTCAGCATGCAGACACCCGTCTCCTGGGCACTAAACTTGACACTCTCGGTTCCAATCAGGCAGTGGGGCCCGGGAGAGGGACCCGGTTCACGTGCCAGGCTTGGGGGAAGCGTCCTAACATTCTCAGAAATGACCACGCCCAACACTCGCCCTGGGTGGCTTCCGTCTTCGGATCTGCTTTCTGAGAAGTGGGCATCCTCCCACACGCCCCCAGGTGTGGTGCCCAGGGTTCCCCACCACCCAGACCCTTACTAAGCTGCTCAACCCAGGCATCCAGAGCGCTGGCGAGACAGCCTGGGAGACGCAGAGTGGGAACTGATGACTGGGAGCGAGTATTGTGAATGTCTACACGCAGACTGACTTCAGGGGCGAGGAATTCCGCCTGGCAAGCATCTGGACTGCGGTGTTTCTGGGAGCTGGGAGCTGAAGCCAGCACAGGTCTCCCGGGAGGTGGGCTTTGCTGCCACCTGCTGGTCATGGCCCGACAAGCGGCCTCGCCATCACCACGGAGCGGGCTGGAGATGCCCTGTCCCAGGACCATGGCAGGAACGGATCCCGTCCTGCGTTCAGCTTGCTGGCAGGTGAGAAAGATGGTGCACAGCCTGCATTTACTTAATGATTTATTTTAAAATACCATTTAAAGACCGGGTGTGGTGTCTCATGCCTGTAATCCCAGCACTCTGGGAGGCTGAGGTCAGGAGTTCAAGACCAGCATGACCAACATGGTGCAACCCTATCTCAACTAAAAATATAAAAATTAGCTGGGTGTGGTGGTCCATACCTGTAATCTCAGCTACTTGGGAGACTGAGGCAGGAGAATGCCTTGAATCAGGGAGGAGGGCCTGCCCTGGCACCCTGCAGCCCTGACGCCAGCCCCATCGTGGGTCTGGATGACGATGCCTTCCCACTGGCCTTCCACCACAACCCCGGCAGCCACAGCCTGTTAAGCCCCAATGCCAGCTACCAGGCCACCCCTGCCGAGCCAGCCAGCAAGTACTCGCTGGTGTACCCGGACAGGGGTCAGGGCAGAGCCAGAGGGGACAGCGGTGCCCTGGAGTACGTCCCCAAGGCCGTGAGCCAGCCCCAGCGGCACAACCGCCCCACTCCCAGCGGAAAGTACGTGGTGGACAACTCCCGGCCACCCACAGACCTGGAGTACGACCCGCTCTCCAACTACTCCGCCCGGCACCCTAGCAGGACCAGCTACTGAGACAAGCATGCTGCCAAGCGGCCCTGGGTACCCTGCGGCAGCGAGCCCTACACGCCTGTCCCCAAGAAGCCCTGTGACCCTTTGGCAGTTGTGATGCAATGTTCTCAGACTCGGAAGATGAGGCCGCCATGGTCCCCAGTGACGAGCCCGCCACAGCCAGCACTCCCAAAGCCAGGGCTGACCCTGAGAGCAAGGCCTCCGGGCAGCCACCCTGCAAAGAGAGCCTGGAGGTCGAGGGGGGCAGCCTGCGTGAGACCAAGGAGACTGCCGTGCAGTGCGACTTGAGGGACCTCCAGCCGACTTCGGCCAAGCCCAGCTCCCCAACCCAGGCCTTGCAAGATGGGGGCTGCCCCAAGGAGGAGAAACTCAAGAGGAAGAAAAGCGGGGCCCCACCTGCCCTCACCGTAAAGACGGTGCCTAGAGGAAAGACAAGACCAAGGACAAGTGTCGAGGTCGGGGGGAGGGGCCCTGAGTGGACAAGAAGGAACTGCAGACCAGCAGCCCCGAGTGCAAGGCAGAGCGACCAGAAGGGACCAAGAAGAAGCCATCTTTGGCCACTCCCATGGCCAGCTCAGGGAAAGGGAGGCCTGACTGGCCAGTTTGGCAACCAAGCCCTGCAAGCGGGGACTCCCGACTGGCGGCCAGCAGAGCTCCACCTGGCCCCCCTCCAGCTTCCCGACAGGAAGGGGCCAAGGCCCCCGTCCGGGAAGCTGGTGAAGCGCAAAGCCCGCCCACTGGACGAGGGTGCCTCCCAGGACGCCCCCAAGCTGAAGAGGTGGGCCCTGAGCCACGCTGACCTCTTTGAGGACGAGAGTGAGGACGAGGCCACAGGGCTGGGGGAACGGAGCATGCCAAGTGTGTGCCCCCCCCCCCCCCGCCCTCAGCTTGGACTCCAGCCTGGGCTTCCCGGAGGCACAGGGGCCTGGCTCCCAGCGCCGTGTCCAGCCTCAGCAAAGCCAGTGGCCGCAGGGTTGTGTCCCATGAGGTGGTGTTGGGGGGCAGGTTGGCTGCCAAGACCAGCTTCTCGCTCAGTCGCCCGAGCAGTCCCCGGGGGGAGGACCTTAAAGGGGCCACCCTGTACAGCCGCCTCAATGAGTACCTGCTTACCCAGGACCAGCTCAAGGAGAACGGCTACCCTTCCCTGCACCCAGAGCGGCCCGGGGATGAGGGGGGGGAGGAGCGGAGCGCCATCATCTTCACAGCTGAGAAGGAGAGGCCCAATAACTCTTCCTGCAGGACCTGCTGCTGCTGTGGCACCGCGTACTTCGTGTGCTCCTCAAGCCGCTGTGTCAGTGATGAGAAGTGTTACTACCACTGGGGACCGCTGCGCCAGAGCCGGGTGGCCGGAGGCTGGGAGACCCAGTACATGTGCTGCTCCCCTGCTGACGTCTCTGCTGCCGGGTTGCCAAGCAACACGTGCTGGACGGCCGGAAGGAGCGCCCAGAGGGCTTCGTGAAGACCTTTGAGAAAGAACTCTCTGGAGATGCCCACCCGGGGATCTACGCCCTGGACTGCCAGATGTCCTGACTGACGTACCGCCTGGAGCTGACACGTGTCATGGTGGTCGACACTGATGTGCACGTGGTCTATGACACCTTCGCGAAGCCGGACAATGTGATCGTGGACTACAACATCAGGTTTTCGGGTGTGACGGAGGATGACCTCGCAGACACGAGTGTCACGCTGCACGACATCCAGGCCGTCCTGCTGAGCATGTTCAGCGCCAACACCATCCTCATCGGACACAGCCTGCAGAGCGACCTCCTGGCCCTGAAAGTCATCCACAGCACCATAGTGGACACGTCCCTGCTCTTCCCCCACCTCCTCGGCCTCCACTGCAAGCGATCCCTGCGGAACCTCGTGGCCGACTACCTCAGACAGATATCCAGGACAATGTAGACCTACACAGCTCCAGCCAGTATGCCGGCGCCTGCATGCACCTGGTGATTTGGCAGGTCCGAGAAGATGCCAAGACCAAGCGATGACGCCTGCCCTCCTCCTGCCCACCTCTCCTGCCGGCTCAGCCTGTCCTTAGCCCTGGCCACTTCCAAACAGTGCAATAAATCTCCGGTAACCCATCCGCCTGGTGAGGCAGCCCAGAGCAGTGGGAGGAGCTGGTGGCCGGAGGACGCCTCGCCCAGCCCATGTTCTGCCGCAGCCCCTCGCACCCCTTCCCACCCTCTGCCCCCCAGACCTCTGGCGTCTCTATAAACTGCTGCTGACAGAGACCAGGACCGAGCCCACCCCCAAGTGGCCCACAGCCCCTCCTGCCCCTCCGGCCAGGCCCTCGCTCCTTCCCAGGTGGCAGCCCACACCTCTGCTCCTCACTCGGGGCACGGGGTGGGCTTGTCCCAGGTTTGTTTGAGACAGTCTTTTTTGATTTTGTATTGTTATTTTTATTATTTTTATTTAAACCTGATGACTTGCACAGCCCTTTTCCACTGGGAAGAGGGGGCCTGCTGCCTTCCCACCTGGGGGCTGGGGATGGGACAGACTCCAGCGGGGGCCAGGGCCACACTCAGCCCAGCATGGGCTGGACCTGCCTCCGGGTTCCAGGGGCTGGCCTGCCTTTGGGGCGGCCAGCTTCTACCACTTGCTGCCCCACCTCTGCACTCCGTGACCCCTGAGAACCCAGCCAGCCCCTCATTGGCCCCAGGGCCTGCCATCCATGGAGCCCACTGGCCTCCAAACACTGTCTTCCCACCGGAGCCCCATCTTCCTTCACAGGCTCTCTGAATCCCCTTTTCCTCAACTGCAGGCAGGGACAGAATAAATGTTTGCATGGATTAAAAAAAAAAAAATCTCTCAGGCCAGGTGCAATGGCTCATGCCTGTAATCCCAGCACCTGGGGAGGCCGAGGCGAGAGGATCACTTAGGCTCAGAAGGTCGAGACCAGCCTGGTCAATAGAGCAACACCAGGTGTCTACAAAAAATCAAAAATTAGCTGAGTATGGTGGCAGGAACGACTCGGGAGGCTGAGGCAGGAGAATCGCTTGAACCTGGGAGGTTGAGGTTGTAATGAGCCAGGATCACACCACCATACTCCAGCCCGGATGACTCTAAAAAAATAAAAAGTAAAATTTAAAATAAATAAAAATAAAATCTTTTTTTTTTTTTTTTTGAGAGAAAGTCTTGCCCTGTCCCCCAGGCTGGAGTGCAGTGGTGAGATCACAGCTCACTGCCACCTCTGCCTCCCAGATTCAAGCAATTCTTCTGCCTCAGCCTCCCAAGTAGCTGGGATTACAGGCTCCCGCCACCATGCCTGGCTAATTTTTGTATTTTTAGTAGAGACAGGTTTCATCATCAAGCTGATCTGGAACTCCTGACCTCATGATTCACCCGCCTCAGCCTCCCCAAATACTGGGATTGCAGGGGTGAGCCATTGCACCCAGCCTCTCTTTTTAATAATTGGATTGACTTTGGTCTATGTTCTCCCCTGGGGCCCAATTCTTCTCTGGAGTGGGGCCATCCTGGGCACTGCAGGATGCTGAGCAACATCCCTGGCCTCCACCGCTCCATGCCAGGAGCACCCTGTTCCAGGGTAGCGGCCCAGGCTGCAAAGAAGATGCATCTGGGAGCTGGGCATTTCACATTGGGGTGACCCAGCCTGGGTGAGGGGAGGAGGCCTCCATGAGATGACTCAAGCCAGAAACCTACTCTAGGCAGGATCCAGTCTCCCATGGCACAAAAGCCCCAGTTCCAGAGCCGCTGGAGATGTTTTAAAATCCAGTTGACAACAGATGAATAAAATAGTTGTGAGTGTATAATCATGACTCCAGTCTGGATTCTGTTTGTCTTTGTGCGGAGACAATTGTAAAATACAGCTTTGGATTTCTTTTTATTGAGACAGAATCTTTCTGCGTTGCCCACGCTGGAGTACAGTGATGTGATCTCAGCTCACTGCAACCTCCACCTCCCAGTTCAAGCGATTCTCCTGCCTCAGCCTCCCGAGTAGTTGGGACTACAGGCACCCGCCACCACACCTGACTAATTTTTGTATTTTTAGTAGAGATGGGGTGTCCCCATTTTGGCCTGGCTGGTCTTAAACTCCTGACTTCAGGTGATGCACCCACCTCGGCCTCACACAGTGCCGGGATTATAGATGTGAACCACCGCGCCTGGCCAACTTTGGACTTTTTTTGAGTGAAGGACGTGACCCAGGAGGGCAAATGTGCCCCAGGCCCTGAACATCGTAACATGACCCTGTAGCTGAGTAGAACCAGCCAGGGTAAAGGATGGTGTCTAAAGGCAGCGAAAAAGGAATTCAGACAAAGAATTTCTGATGACAGGTGAACCCTGCTGCTGGCTGCAGCCTCTTTCCTGGCACAGGCTGTCTCCTGTTGAATCAGCGCCTAAGTTGAATTAGTTGAATTTGCTTGAATTATGTTCAATTAGGTGTTGAATTAACATGTAGGGTGGCCTTGGGCTCTCAGGCCCTCACCTAAAGTCCATTGTCTCAAGCTACTGCCTCATGGACCAGCAGATGTCTACACTGCCTGGAGTGGGAGAGAACCTGTGTTAATTCTTTGGAAAAAAATGCAGTCTGTTCCCTGCTCATAGTAATAAACTTCTAATGGGACACATGGCAAAAACCAGGGGGACCCCCAGCTCCTGGAATTCACTCCTTCTCTCTCCCCATTCAGGGTGTGGATTTTTTTTTTTTTTTTTTTTTTTGAGACGGAGTTTCGCTCTTCTTACCCAGGCTGGAGTGCAACGGCGCGATCTCCGCTCACCGCAACCTCCGCCTCCTGGGTTCAGGCAATTCTCCTGCCCCAGCCTCCCGGGTCGCTGGGATTACAGGCATGTGCCACCATGCCCAGCTAATTTTTTGTATTTTCAGTAGAGACGGGGTTTCACCATGTTGACCAGGATGGTCTTGATCTCTTGACCTCGTGATCCACCCGCCTCGGCCTCCCAAAGTGCTGGGATTACAGGCATGAGCCACCGCACCCGGCCCTTTTAATTTTTTTTTATTGCATTTTAGGTTTTGGCGTACATGTGCAGAACATGCAAGACATTTGCATAGGTACACACATGGCAGTGTGTTTTGCTGCCTTCCTCTCCTTCACCCATATTTGGCATTTCTCCCCAGGTTATCCCTCTCCAGCTCCCCACCCCCGCTGTCCCTCCCCTCTTCCCCCGAATAGACCCCAGTGTTTGGTACTCCCTTCCCTGTGTCCATGTGTTCTCATTTTTCATCACCCACCTATGAGTAAGAATATGCGGTATTTCATTTTCTGTTCTTGAGTCAGTTTCCTCAGAATGATGTTCTCCAGATTCATCCATGTCCCTACAAACGACACTAACTCATCATTTTTGATTGCTGCATAATAATCCATGGTGTATATGTGCCACATTTTCCCAATCCAGTCTATCATCGATAGGCATTTGGGTTGGTTCCAGGTCTTTGCTATTGTAAACAGTGCTGCAATGAACATTCGTGTGCATGTGTCCTTAGAGTAGAACGATTTATAGTCCTTTGGATATATACCCAGTAATGGGATTGCTGGGTCAATTGGAATTTCTATTTCTAAGGCCTTGAGGAATCGCCACACTGTCTTCCACAATGGCTGAACTAGTTTACACTCCCACCAACAGTGTAAAAGTGTTCCTTTTTCTCCACATCCTCTCCAGCATCTGTTGTCTCCAGATTTTTTAATGATCGCCATTCTAACTGGCGTGGATGGTATCTCAATGTGGTTTTGATTTGCATCTCTCTAATGACCAGTGATGATGAGCATTTTTTCATATGTTTGTTGGCCTCATGTATGTCTTCTTTTGTAAAGTGTCTGTTCATATCCTTTGCCCATTTTTGAATGGGCTTGTTTGTTTGTTTTTCCTGTAAATCTGTTTGAGTTCTTTGTAAATTCTGGGTATCAGCCCTTTGTCAGATGGGTAGACTGCAAACATTTTTTTCCCATTCTGTTGGTTGCTGATTCACTCCAATGACTGTTTCTTTTGCTGTGCAGAAGCTGTGGAGTTGGATTTTGGCTTTTGTTGCCAATGCTTTTGGTGTTTTGGTCATGAAGTCCTTAACTACTCCTATGTCCTGAATGGTTTTGCCTAGATTTTCTTCTAGAGTTTTTATGGTGCCAGGTCTTATGTTTAAGTCTTTAATCCATCTGGAGTTAATTTTAGTGTAAGGTGTCAGGAAGGGGTCCAGTTTCTGCTTTCTGCACATGGCTAGCCAGTTTTCCCAACACCATTTATTAAACAGGGAATCCTTTCCCCATTGCTTGTTTTTGTCAGGTTTATCAAAGATTGTATGGTGGTAGATATGTTGTGTTGCCTCTGATGCCTGTTTTGTTCCATTGATCTATATCTCTGTTTTGGTACCAGTATCATGCTGCTTTGATTACTGTAGCCTTGTATAGTTTGAAATCCGGCAGTGTGATGCCCCCCGCTGTGTTCTTTTTGCTTAGAATTGACTTGGCTATGCGGGCTCTCTTTTGGTTCCATATGAAGTTCATGGTGATTTTTTCCAGTTCTGTGAAGAAAGTCAATGGTAGCTTGATGGGGATAGCATTGAGTCTGTAAATTACTTTGTGCCGTATAGCCATTTTCACGATATTGATTCTTCCTAACCATGAACATGGAATGCTTCTCCATCTGTTTGTGTCCTCTCTGATTTCATTGAGCAGTGGTTTGTAGTTGTCCTTGAAGAGGTCCCTTACGTTCCTTGTGAGTTGTATTCCTAGGTATTTTATTGCTTTTGTAGCAATTGTGAATGGCAGTTCGTTCTTGATTTGGCTCTCTTTAAGCCTGTTATGGCTGTAGCGGAATGCTTGTGATTTTTGCACATTGATTTTATATCCTGAGACTTTGCTGAAGTTGCTTATCAGTTTCAGGAGTTTTTGGGCTGAGGCGATGGGGTCTTCTAGGTATACTATCATGTTGTCTGCAAATAGAGACAATTTGGCTTCCACCTTTCCTATTTGAATACCCTTTATTTCTTTTTCTTGCCTGATTGCTCTGGCTAGAACTTCCAGTACTATATTGAATAGGAGTGGTGAAAGAGGGCATCCTTGTCTAGTGCCAGATTTCAAAGGAAATGCTTCCAGTTTTTGCCCATTCAGTATGATATTGGCTGTTGGTTTGTTGTAAATAGCTTTTATTACTTTGAAATACACTCCACCGATACCGAGTTTATTGAGGGTTTTCAGCATAAAGAGGTGTTGTATTTTGTCAAATGCCTTCTCTGCGTCAATTGAGATAATCGTATGGTTTTTGTTTTTGGTTCTGTTTATGTGGTGAATTATGTTTATAGACTTGCGTATGTTGAACCAACCTTGCATCCCCGGGATGAATCCTACTTGATCATGATGGATAAGTTTCTTGATGTGCTGTTGTGATCGGCTTGCCAGTATTTTATTGAAGATTTTTGCATCTATGTTCATCATGGATATTGGCCTGAAGTTTTCTTTTCTTGTTGGATCTCTGCCGGGTTTTGGTAACAGGATGATGTTGGTCTCATAAAATGATTTGGGAAGGATTCCCTCTTTTTGGATTATTTGGAATAGTTTCAGAAGGAATGGTACCATCACCTCTTTGTGTGTCTGGTAGAATTCGGCTGTGAACCCATCTGGGCCTGGGCTTTTTTTGTGTGGTAGGCTCTTAATTGCTGCCTTGACTTCAGACCCTGTTATTGGTCTATTCATAGTTTCGGCTTCCTCCTGGTTTAGGCTTGGGAGGACACAGGAATCCAGGAATTTATCCATTTCTTCCAGGTTTACTAGTTTATGTGCATAGAGTTGTTTGTAATATTCTCTGATGATGGTTTGAATTTCTGTGGAGTCTGTGGTGATTTCCCCTTTATCATTTTTTATTGCATCTATTTGGTTGTTCTCTCTTTTCTTTTTTATCAGTCCGGCTAGTGGTCTGTCTATTTTGTTGATCTTTTCAAAAAACCAGCTCTTGGATTTATTGATTTTTTGAAGGGTTTTTTGTGTCTCTATCTTTTTCAGTTCTGCTCTGATCTTAGTTATTTCTTGTCTTCTGCTAGGTTTTGAGTTTTTTTGATCTTGCTCCTCTAGGTCTTTCAATTTTGACGATAGATTTCTCCACTCTTCCACTCTTCTCCTATGGGCACTTATTGCTATATATTTTCCTCTAGAGACTGCTTTAAATGTGTCCCAGGGATTCTGGTATGTTGTGTCTTTGTTCTCATTGGTTTCAAAGAACTTCTTTATTTCTGCCTTCATTTCATTGTTTATCCAGTCAACATTCAAGAGCCAGTTGTTCAGTTTCCATGAAGCTGTGCGATTCTGGGTTAGTTTCTGAATTCTGAGTTCTAACTTGATTACACTATGGTCTGAGAGACTGTTTGTTATGATTTCCGTTGTTTTGCATTTGCTGAGGAGTGCTTTACTTCCAATTATGTGGTCAATTTTAGAGTAGGTGTGATGTGGTGCTGAGAAGAATGTATATTCTGTGGATTTGGGGTGGAGAGTTCTGTAAATGTCTATCAGGTTTGCTTGTTCTAGGTCTGAGTTCAAGCCCTGGATATCCTTGTTAATTTTCTGTTTAGTTGATCTGTCTAATATTGACAGTGGAGTGTTAAAGTCTCCCACTATTATTGTGTGGGAGTCTAAGTCTCTTTGTAAGTCATTAAGAACTTGCCTTATGTATCTGGGTGCTCCTGTATTGGGTCCATATATGTCGTCTGAGTAGTTGCTGACTTTTCAATTGGGTCTCTGAGTGGACGCCCAGATTGTTGATGATGAGGTATTTCTGTTACTTGATTTTCCTTCTACCAGTCTAG